ACCTCTTCACATTGCCGAGAAAGTCAACGGTCAGATTTTTGGCCGAGGACGTGAACCAGGTGGCCGAGTGCAGCTCCAGCTGGGCCCGATAGCAGTCGTACTTGATGTACTGCGTGCAGTAGAGCGAGTGTGAGATGAGCTCCTGCAGCATATGTGGGGAGAATTCGCGGTAGCGTATATTGAAGCTAAAATCGGACTCACGGGCCGACCGCACATCCACCTGGCTGGGCAGATTGTGCTCGACAATTGTCTTGGTGGCATTCTCCAGACTCTGAAAATCACATTTGACATGCGCCGGCGGGAAGACGCCGTTGCCATCGATGTCAATGAGGTAGACATCGGATTTGGTGAAGCCCAGCAGCGCCAGCTCCTCGCAGGTCTTGCGGTACTTGGTAAAGTGACAGTTTTGCCAATGTAGCCCGTGTGCTTGCAGTCGCAGGTGACGCGATCATCCTTGACGAAACACTTGCCACCATGTTCGCAGGTGTTGGGCCGCTTGCACGGATCAATGTAGTTGCAGTTGTCCAGCGCCACCTCGCCGACCACGCGCTCCGTTTTGACCACATGCCGTGGCTCAATCAAATGGCCATTGATCTCAATGTCACGGATGCAGCCCACCAGGCCCATGGCCGCTGACTTTAGGCTGCTGCCAATGATGAGTTTGTCGCCAATGTTAAAGGTCAGGCCGTACATCTGGCTGAGGGTGTGACGGTAGTCGACAGTGAACCGGATCTCGCCCAGCTTATAGTCTATCTCGACGCTGTGCCAGGAGGTGGCACGATTGATTTTGATGGTCGTCGAGTGTGTCACATTGTTGTTCACATCGGGCACCAGATCGAAGCTTAGTTTGTCCGATGTGAGACGTATCTATGTGCGTGTATGTGTGTGTGCGGTGTTTGTGCGTGTGTGGGGGAGTAGCAGCCAGCCATTTTGTAATTTCCGTTAGTTTTACATTTCCGGTAGCCATTGAGTTATCGTTGGTTAGGCGTGATTCGAAGTATGGGTATAAAATGGTACGTTTTATCAGGTCATTGTCGTCGTTGCACGTTGCACGTTCCAGAACCAAAACCAAAACCAGAACCCAAACCCGCGCATTAGCGTGTTTCCAAATATTAGTTTTTGTCAGCGTCGCCATCGTCGTTTGCAATCGGTGCGCACATGTAAAAAAAAAGAGAGAGAAAAAGCATAGAAAAATAGAAAAGTCTGTTAGCATTTGGGAGTTTCAACAGCGCTTTGGGGTTTTCCTATCTGTGTGCAGGGGAAAATAAATCAAAATTGCGAAAATGCCTAAAATGCAGCACAGGCAAACACTCATCCACTCAATGGCATGCACCCTCCCCCTCTCTCGTACACACACACACACACACATTTCAATTTAAATGCCTTTGTGCATTAGCTTCGCTTAAATCATATTACGCATACGCCACGTGGCCACGTTCGGCGCCAGCATCTGCCGAATCAATCTGCCAGCTCGTTCCGGTCTCTCGACTCTGTTGAAATTGCTGCCCATTAATTTGCAGCAAATCGTTGCAGCCATAAAAAGGGGGTGGGTATTATCCCACTTCTCTTTCTCCCTCTGCTATTTATTCGTCCCTGTCTCTATGTACATATATGTATATGTATCTGTTTGTGTCTGTCTATTCATCCATTTAGCTATGCACTAAGCTTGTTGTCATATGGAGCTATAATTATTATTGGAATAAAGTTGAAATATATGTATGTTTTTATGTGCATATGTGGCTTTGATGCTGAGCTGCATGAACTAGTTCTTTGAATGGGATTTCAGTTTATCTAAAAATATGAATGAATGATATTTAAATTTTATTTGTGAGAATTTATTCAGAATTTAAAAAGTATACAAAAGAAATATAAATATTAAAAAAAAATTATTATAATCTGCAGAACATACACCCCAATTGTGGGAATATCTATCAAATCTTCTGACATGAAAATCCAACATTTAAGCTTACTCTTGTAGATACAGACAATATTATCTGTTGAGGAAACTGTTATCCCATTGAGTGTAATAAATCCAAGTACATAAATCGTCCAAACTTCTCGAAGAACCCATCCAATATGAAATATGTATGTACATCATAAATAATAATATATATCTAAAAACAACAGTGCCCCTTGTCTGTCATAATCCCACTAATTTGACAATCCCTATATTAGTTTTTTCCGTTTTTCGTTTGCTGTACAGTCTATTATTCTTGCATATCGGGAAAAAAAAATCCTCCAATATATGGAAATTTGATGAACTTTCTCTGGGCTTACAGCTCAACACAGCATGGTTTTTAATTTGGATATACATTTGAATCGAACATGGATACATACATATATATATATGCATATGTAGTGGTAATATGGTCATGCATCTGTGTGTGTGTGTGTGTACCATATTTATCTATGCTCATTGTGAATTGCGCTTTTGCGTCGCTTATGTGAAATGACAAACACTCAAATTTTATTGCATATTTCATTAGATTTTTGTCACAGAGCGTTATGTTTAAAGGCAAACAGTTTTCAGACACACACACACACACACACACACACGCATAAAAACCATCAACCAGGCACACACACATACACCACCGCATCTACATTGCATACAGTGGCAATATTTCAAATGATTTTTATTCCTTCTACGCTGCGGCTGGTGCCACGAGTGTTGGTGTTGTTTGTTTGCCTATTTCGCCCATTTGCGCGCTGTCAATAAATTCGATTTTCGATTTGTGATTCGCGATTTATGCGGGCGCATAGTTTTTATGTGCCACCCCTCCTCCGGCTATCCCCTTGTCACGCATGTGACATGACATTCCATGTTGTGTTGCATACACTTTGTTTGTCTGTTCTTTCTGTACAGCGTAGTACAGGGTACATGTACGTGAGCGTCGGGTCTATATTGTTTGAGGTGTGCAGATGCATGCCAGAGTCAAGGGAAAGCAATTTCTACTTTAATTACTCTCTAGATGGAAGCCGAAGCTCAGGCCAGGCCCAGCCGTAGGCGTAGGTGGAAGAGCAAACCATAGCAAGATCTCTCTTCTTGTAGATGTTTTTGTTTACCTCGGATGGTAGCCCATTTAATGCAATAAATCGAATCTATAGGATATGCCATAGTTGAAACAATACTTAAAGCATTCCTACATGTTTTTTTACGCTAAAGGGAGAGGTAGAGAAACCTAAACGTAGAGATAGACAGAGACAGATATCGCCTGCTGGCAATTTATTAGTTTGTTGAGCGTCAGAACGCGGCACGCAGGTGGCAATTTTGTGGCCAGTGTCGGGGGCAAACAGTAAATAAATAAAATCTCTCGTAACTGATGCGTTTTTGAAGTGCAGCCCAAAATGCCGATAGGATATGTAGTTAACAAATAGATAGATAGTACGTACGACTAACTGCACAGTTATTTGACTTATTTACCCAAATATGTGGGTAGGTAAAAAATGCAATCGAGTGGAGGAGCGGACTAGCCGGTCAGTCATATTATAAAACCTGACACAATCAATTTAGTATTAATTTGGGTGCGCATAAATCGTGGCATGGCAGTGCCAAATAAGCCCTATGGGGCACTCGATGCAAAATGAAATAGCTTTTGGCATAAATATTCATTGGGCATTACAGCAGCATTTTATTGCAATGCCAATAAGTCAGGTTTTGCAGCAGTTTATTTTGTAGAGAGAGAGAGAGGGAGAGTGAGGGAAAGTCTTGCAATCAAAAGGAACAAAATCAACAATAAAATGCAAATAAATACATATAAATATACACATCTCTCTCAATGGCTGCATATATGTATGTACATATATGTATGTATGTTTGCATGCATTTGAGTATTCCCTTTTAGTGCATTTCCAAAATGCCAAGTAACCAAATAAACGTTTTCGGCCAGGCCAAGACGAGGTTTATTTGTTTAAATACAGATAAATGCTACGGACATTCATAGAAACATCAACACACACACACACACACGGGAGAGAGAGAGAGAGAGATGCGGGCGAAGAAGTCAAAGTACACTGAACAACAATTTTATAAATATACTCAATGCAAGTGCAATATTTTGTTGGAACTTCTAATGTCAATTTTTCACAGTGTCAATTTCACATGCTGGCATGGAAGTCAAATCTAAGAAGGGTAGAGGGGGAGTAGCAGAAAGCTTTCAGGCATTTGACTCTGTACCCTAACAGGCCTTAAACTGTTGAATTGTTTTTGTGATCGATTGCACGCACTTTTATGCTGGACCCCCAATCTGTTTTATTCTCCTCGCTTCCCCCGTCACTCCAACACAGCCCATTTTGGCTCCCTTTTGGAATTGCTCTCTGGTTATAAATTGTCATTTCATGGCAACATTTAACTTGCTTTCAATTGTTATGCGGCGGCAATGACATAAATCTGCAAAAATTGTTATTTCAAATAAATTGCCCGGGATGGACGACATTCAGAGGACAGAAACAATTCTGAGGCTATTCTGGTTAATATCCTGATGGGACGTTCGTTTTTCTTTTTTTGTGGCGCAAACGAGAAAAAGAGAGAAAGAGGAAACCACAGAGAATAGCTGTATAAGATAAAGCTGCAGTGCAGTGTTTGGCGTGCGTAAGTGTGTGGGGGTTCTCTCTGCAGTCCAGCTGCAGTGTCTGTGCAAAGCAAACAAGAAGCGAACAAGACAAGACCCCAAAGAGAATCAGGAAATGTAAGAAGAGAGATCTTGCTAATGGCAAAAAGTATAGGCTAAGCCTACATTCAGAGAAAAGCGTTTAGGCTAAGCCTACAGTAAAAAGAAACACACCTCCATATATAATTAAAATTAGTTGGTTTCAATATTCACTCTCAGTGCTAGTATCAATGGCATAACTATTTAAATCTAAGTGTAACAATAATATTCTCAGTGCTTTTTTTTTTGGGTGTAAACTCGTTCTTCTATCTACCACTTTTGGCTGGGATTCGTCTGTTATCACCTTATGCTTCGTATGTCTATTATTCGCCGAGAATATTGTCATATCAGATGCACGGCGGAAATATCAAATATTTCATCTAGTCGCCTTTACCTTACTCGCCAGCTCAGTAACACTTATTTGATTTTCCCAAGTTTCCTGCTGGCAAATGAATATACAAAATAAAATAAATATGTTTGAAATCACAAACTGCACGGTTTCCTACGTCAACGATTGTGTGGAGCGCTCATTGTTGCTCTCAATGTAAGTAAACATTATTTTAATGCACTCGACCTTACATACATACATATGTACAGATATTGTTTCTCATCTTTTGTAGCTTCCAAAAAAATGCCACATGGATTGTCTTATGTGTACTGCTTGTTTGTTGGTTAGTGATCCCTAGTTTATACGAGCCTATCGAGTGCTTGCTCCATACGATTTTTAATATAATATGCAAATTGATGATCAAATACTTCGAGTACAATCCGGTGGTCCCAACGCGTCGAATGTTTTTCGGAAATAAGAAGACATTGCTAGTGGATTTGAAAGCGCTAGTATCTATAAACTATACAGAAGGTTTACAGAGAGTATGCGGTGTGCCCTGTGACTATAGTATCCATATGCCCGAAAACCACATCACATTACAGATCTTCAAGCGTCCCTTTCTTGATTTTTTCCTTGAGACTGTCTCCAAATGGTACACTGTCGTCATATACCACGATGTGGAGAACAAATACGCAACGCAGGTACTTGACGTTCTGGATCCCGATCGGAATATATTGGAGCGACGCTTGGCTTGTCGCTCCAGCTTATATCCTGGCCTGAGGGCTGACTACATTTCGCTGGCTTTTCCCCATCTTCGAGAATTCATATTGTTGGATGGTGCTACTAATTTCGGCTTGTGCTATCATGGCAATTGCATCTATATCAAGAATTATCAGATCGGCGACTGGGATATGCGATTCCTGTTCCTATTGCCCGTCTTGGACTGTCTTCGCTTTGTCAAGGATGTGGATGATACCTTGAAACGGTGCAAATTATTGGCATGGTGTTGCCTCAAGTGTTGCAAATAAGGGAATGTAACAATAAAAACCATTACGTCACGACTAAGCCTCATTTAAAATTTTTTTTAACTCAGTCAAGCTTCAATTTAATTGCATTCTCCAAATGCCTTGGTATTTTTGGTTACTATAGGCAGGGATTTGCCCCCGCAAGGGAGGGGGGGAGCAGAGAGGTTAAATATTGAGCAGGCATGCGATGCAAGTTCCATATACACGAGCCAGCAAGCACAGACACATGCACACCCAGGGGCAGGCGGCACAGACATGCACACATTTGATTTGCATTTCATTTGCCATTGCTTCGGTGAATGCCTCCTCTGTGGCTGCTCGAACTCCGTTCAAGGTGTAATTCTATTAAGGTAAGGCAGTTAAGACCAGGCCGATACAAAGTGCTCTCTCTCTGTCTCTGTTGAGAGTCTTAAGCAGCAGTCTCTCTGCCTCTCTGCTCTGGCCACACCTTACATACCATATATACCACCGTTTCTCTGCCATTTCTCATGCCCTTTGCTAAGTCCCGTCTTAAGCAGCATGTCAGCCACGTCCGTCCTGCCAGCCAGTCCTGAGCAGTTCATAAGCTCAAGCAATGTTGCACGTGCATATGTGCGGCATATGTGTGTGTGTGTGTGTGCGTGTGCACCATATATGGTTGAATGCTTGAACGAACACTTACCTCCCAGAAGCCATTTCCGGCACTGGTCGTTACGTCACTGTAGGCCAGCACAGCGCCTGGCCGACTGCTGCGGAAATCGAATTTAATATTAAATTCTTCGGCGTGATTTATGGGCCACCAAATGTGTGACGTCGCAAAGGGATAGGTTATGGGTATGACATTCACTTCGTTCTCCACAAACTCTGCCTCCAGGACACCTGCAAAACGAATGCCAAATATATTTCACTGTCAAATCCGCATCCTACGATGGACTGACTGAACTCACCATGATAGTGCATCTTGGGATTGCCACGCTGCAGCTCGTACAGAATGGAGATGTCGTTGTAGTAGACGTACTTCATGCTGCCCACGAAATTGTTATGTGAGGCCAAACCCTTCTTCTTGTGCAGCTCGGGGCCGCCACCGAAGTAGATCTCCGGATCGAAGAGCAAATTACCGCTGGTCGTGGCCGGCAGCTCGAGTACCTTCTGCTGCTGATCCAGGATAATGCTCACCGTGCGCTGCTCATGCAGAATGGTCAGGTTGTGCCAGTAGCCGCGCGTCAGATCATCGGTGAGCACTGTGGCCATCACATGGTCGCCAAAGTCCATTTCCACATGGATCGACTGGTTCTTGATGGACGCCGCTATATACTGATGCTTAAGCGACTCACCGCTGGCGTAGAACAGCGCCGAATCGTCAAAGTTTGTGCGAAACATCAGGCTGATGCGCATCGTGGATGAGTGCACGCGATCCTTCCAGTCGTAGATCCTGTAGGACACATAGCTGGCACCACGCAGCGTGATTATGGTGGCCGCTGAAAGTCAAAGCGAATTGATTACATAAGGCAGTGTAAAGTGTAAAGCCCCCCTCCTTATGCAGCGAGCGAGTCAAACTTAATTCAACCTTTAGCATATTTGCTTTCAGCTTCCATTTTGAGAAGCTTACCATAAAAGAACGAGTAAATTTAAACAACTTTGTGTTCTTTAAACACCCTTCAAGAGGAATTAAATTAAACATTAATTATAGACACTGCCCTGGGCCTTTTCGCACACTTTAGAGTGGGCAGTGAGGTACTTCTTTTTAGTTGGATATCTAGTCTTAAAAATATTAAGTTTTGATTTTGCACAGACCTCTTTTTTTCCTGCAAAAGCTCTAAAATCGAATTGCCATTTTACTCTGTAGCTGTAAAAGAAAAGATCGCTCACAGGGAATATTTTACTGGAGTATTTAAGCATTTATATCCATTTCTATCAACGAACATTTCCGCGCAGTGTATTTGCTGCTACGACCTGCACAATATTCATTATTTTTCCATGTTTTTTTGAACCCCCGTGCCACTGGTGCATTATCTGCCTGCCACACACACACAGAATGAACGAACGAAAGAGCGAAAAAAATTACGTCCGAGGTCTCCCCCACAAAAATAGATTATATTGTTTGGTATATGGCAGCGGCCTTTGGGCGTTCGCCTGATGCTCTTGTCCTGGTTACTGGTTGTTTCTGGCCCTTGTCCGGGTCCATGTTGCACGGACAAAATGTGCAAATCGTGTTACTCGCAATTTTCATACATTCTGGCTGCATTTTTTCTGGCGCTGCTGATTCTGGTGGAGAGCGACAGCAGCCGCGTGCTGGCCGGCTTATCTGACACGGCACACGTGGGCCATGCCCACGACCACGCCCACGTGATAACGTATCACACACACACATATGAGATAAATGTACACTTCATAATTTTTTTTATTTGCATTTTGTTGAAGGGAGAGAGATTTTCTGTCGCATTGGCCCACAAAAGTGTGATACGGTTTTTTTTCACCGCTCCTTTTTATGCTAATATAGGAGCACATGGATAATGAGGCAGGCGGCAGTGGACTGGGACTGCAACTGGGACTGGGAATGGGACTCGACTCCCATTAGAGCAAGCCACACTGTGTGATGGTCACAGGGCTCTTGGGCTTGCCGTTCTTCGTGCCAAACGCCTGGCAGAGCTGTAGCACTCTGTGACCGCCAAAAACGCGACCAAAGACGATACGATGCAGCGACTGCACTGCCAGGGGCTTGAAGCTAATCGTGTAGTTGAGCAGACCCTGGGGAAAGTGATGGTGATAGTCCCCGGCATAGGAGAGGAATCCCGTCAGCCGAGTGTGGTCCAGCTGCGAGTGCTTGCTGCTGTGATGGCGGCGCAGGGCATCCCGGGACCCAAGCACCAGCTCACCCTCCATCCAAAGGTCGGCGAATATGCGCAGAAATCGGTGGCCCTGCACATCGTTGTAGGTGGCAAGACGCACGAATTCCAGCACCACCTCTGGACTGACCTCCGTGTACAGCTGAATGCTGATGCGGCCCAGCGGCTGATTGTCGCCCTCCACCAGATCGTAGTAGAGAACGGGTCGCAGCAGTGCATGGGGATCAATCTCAGCCGCCTGCGGTGCTGGTATGAAGGGCGCGTACTTGACCAACGTCTGCTGCGAGGCCCTACGCTCCATGGGCGGCGGCGGCGGCACCCACGGATTGTGGCAGTCCACCTTCGACTTGACCATTGCCAGGCGGCAGCCCAGATCCCTGTTGGCGCGCGACAAGCGCTCCGCCCGCACACGTTCCCTGTGCCTGCCCGATGGGCCTCGCTGGAGTGTCGCATTGAAGCAGTTGACTACGCCGTGCAGCCGCTGGGTCCTATTGATGCGCTTCAGCATTTGCAGGTTATGCCGAAAGATGTCCTGCTTCTTCTGCAGATCCTCCAATACCGATGTCCTCTCCAGTATGAGACTATTCGTATTCGGTTGACGCGTATTGATCACCGACTTGATGCCCTTTAGGTGCTTGCGATCAAACTGCGCCTGCCGCATCTCCACCAGCTTGAGGTAGATGCTCTCCATATTGGCCGCCGGCTTTTCCTTGACATCTCTGGACAGGCTGCGATCTGGATACACTTCCTTCATCAGGCGTCGAAATTCCGGATAGGTGGGCATTCGACGCGTTGGCAACAAATTGCGCGCCTGCCTGCTGCTCAGCAGCTTCTTGGCCACGTTCTGGGACTGCATGCGGGTCATGAAACTGGTGGGGGCCAGCATTTTGAACTCCGAGAAGGAGGTGGCACGGCTCATGATGATTATTCTCTCTTGTAACTCGTTAATTTAAGCAATTCTATTCTAGCAATTTATTACAATTTGTACAAACTTTTGTTTCAGATACAATACAAAGACGATTTAAAGTGTTTTAGAGAGGGTTTCAATACTACTAGGGGGCTACTAGGATGTCAGCAATATCGTTCAGAATAGACCTGGGTGGGTGTATTTCCCACCTAGCTTCGGTTTAACTTTGTTTTGCTCAGCCATAGTTATGCAGTTCCATTCCCAACCAAAATCTATAATTTTCTGGACTTCGTTTGGCTGTTGCATAGCTGCTGACTGTCCGTTCATCTGACAACTTGCAACTGAACCCAAGTTGAACTAAGCTCGAGGCCACATCACATCTGACAGGACAGGACAGGACATGCTCTGCTCTCTCCCCCTATCCTCCTTCCGGTGCTGTCTGTTTGCTGTCCTTTTCATAGTTGGGATTTCATTTCGTTTATGCCGGAAGAAGCCCAAAAATCTTGTAGTCTCTTTTCACAAAATTTTGTTGATGCCCCCTGCCCCCAGTTTTTGTGCGGCTAATGATTTCCCTGCCACCCAAAAAGCCTGGCAACGCATTTCGTTGACACTTTTCGCACGGAAAATGTACAATGGAAATGAGGTCCCAGTACGGGTGTGGGTGCAGGGTGCAGGGGGTGGGTATCTTTCTCTACAGGCCCCCTTGTACGGGCAGTTGTCATTTTAGTTATTGCATTACAAAAGCGCCTGCGTTTGATTATGTCCCCCCATTCGTGTTGTATGTATGTACCTCCGACAAGGACGACTCTTCTTCTTTGCTCTTTCTGTGTGTGTGTGTGTGTGTGAAAGCTTTTAATGGCCTGACACTGTTTCCGTTCGCAGAAGCCGTGCAACATGCAGCGCACACCCAACAGGAACTGCTGGGTTCGTCGTCAACTACATCTGTGTAATTTGCTTGCACTTGCCGTTCGGCATTCGTTACGTAATTGTGATCGGTTGCAGCTGCAACTGCAGCAGCAGCAACAGCACCAGCACCAGCTCTGGCTGTAAATGTTCGACAAACTCGCACGTCACGCCGCTCGCTCTTTGTCCTTGACAGACGCCATTTAGACAGACAGACAGAGAGAGGGGGGCAAAATGCTCATCGCTGTCATGGCTGCCCGTTAGCTCTCCTTTTTTTTTTTACCGTGCAATTTGCAGCTGTCGATTGCATCAATAGCTGGGAGTCCTTCCCCGGGACTTCACTTCCAGCCATTCCACTCCATTCCCTCCCACTGTTAGTAAATCCACTTCATTTCAATCCGCTTTCACCCACAAAGTCTGGATTTTGTTGGGGTTTTTTCTCTGTGTGTGTGTGTGTGCGTGGCGTGTGCTGGTCATCATTTGCATGCAAATTTTTAGCAAACATTGCGTATGTGCAAAATCGTTGTGCAAATCTGTAAAGAATGCATGTTCCTTGATGCTCTCTAACTAGTCTAACTAGGAATTCTAGCATCCTCCTGCTGAGTAGCTTAATTGTTGTAGCAGGGGGAAAAGGATTCTAAGACGGTGATTGCAGCAAGTGATCATAGATATAAAAAATCTTATTGATTTTTGGGAAATAACAATTGCATTAAAGATTGCTCCCTGTTCCATGAAGAGTGATCCAAGCAGTTTAACACCGAGAAAGATCGTTAGGAATTGGAATGGCTGTGATTATGGAATGTTCTCATAAAGAAGTCATCGTTAGCTGATAGTTCAAGTTTATTTCCAGGATATATAAATATTTGCAAGTGCCATAGCAATCAACAGAGTGATTATGTTGAATAATCCCTTTTATGAAAACCACTTAATTAAGTTCTTGAGCTATAGGTTAATGGACAAAGGAGCACAAGCCACCCCCTCTTAAGTCTCTGGCATTAGGGTAAACAAACTTCGCTTTAAGTTCACATGAACCAAAAATTCAACTCCGAGTTACGTGCCTGCACCGAATGCACAACAGTTGACCCGCCTTGCGAATAACCCCCCCTCGCGCCACCCTTTTTGGGCGATTTCCAATTTTACAATGTCAAAAAACATAAACGAGCTGCTCAATTTTTAATGGGCAATGCCTATATAATGGTCTCGCGTGACTTAATTGGGATTATGGCGGCCTGGAATTGGCTTTATGTCATTAACTAAATGTCGGATGTTGTTGAAGGCTTCGAAATGGGTTGAAAGTGTTGTGGAATGGACGAGGGAGCGGTGGAATTGGGGGGCACTATATATCGGAGCTTAACAAACTAATTTGGCGCACATTCTGGCCTGTCCCTGTCCTGGTCATAGTCTGGTGCTGGGTCTGAGCACCAACAGGAGGGCTGGGCCAGTCAAAAAGTCAAACACTATTTTGCATAATTTATGGTCAGGTCATTAGCGTGTTTAAAACTGTAGCTGTAGAGAGAGAGAAAGAGAGAGCGGGACAAAGAGTGGATAAGCCACGGGCAGTGCCAGTGCCAGTGGCAGTGGCTAACCGCAAGGCAAACAAACATAGTTTATAATTAAAACAAAATGTCGCCCCTAGGGGCAATGTTCAGATACAGATACGAGCGAGAGATGGATGACATGGGATGGATACTCACTGTAGATGTCACAGTGCTCGCCCTCGTAGTGGGTGCCAAAGCAGTCGCAGGAGATGCCCCCATAGTGGTTGATGCAACGGGCGCCCACAAAGCACAGATTGTGCCTCGATTCGCACATATCGAAGCATCCCTCGTTGACGTTCTCATGCTTGGTGGCCACCAGCGGGGCAATGGGAAGCAGATCGGATGCCGCCTTGCCAGAGCTCAGTACAACGTTGCGTATGCAGCCCACAAAGGATTCCGTTATGTACTTAACGCCATGCAGCTTCTCCTCCGACGAAAGGCCTAACAAATGAGGGGAGAGAGAGAGAGAGAGAGATAGAGAGGTTTGGCATGAGATTGAGATTGTCTTCAGATTAATTAACATGCAGAATATTTGGCAATGGATTTTGTGGCTATATATAACATTGGTTGAAGGGGTTGTGCAGGGCTGTGCAGGGGGGTGTGTGTGCTTGTGTGTCTTTGAGGAGGGGATGTGTGGCCATTTCTGGACACAGACCCATAACATAATTCTCTTGTTTACAGTTGAAAGTTTTGATGGGATTTTTGGCCGGGCGCTGCTGCTTTTGCTCGGAGATTTAAATATTGCTTAATTAAAAAAGTTGTCGCCATTCGGTTGTTTGGGTTCCCACCAGCAAAGAGCGGTCTAAATAAATACACTGAAAGCGGCTTCCGCAACAACAAAAAAAAAAAACAGAGAACTTTAGTTTTATTTTCGGCATTTCGTAGAGAGAAAACCCATTTGGGGCTCTGGTTCAGAAATTCCTTCGGACCAACGGAGGGCCATTACATTCCATGCTAAAAGAATTTCAGTTAATTTTTATGCACATAGTTTTTACCTTAAGGAAATGAGGAGTTGTTGCTTAATTGTGGCTAAAAATATTGCCCCATTTAACTTTTAAACTAAATTTACAGAAATCAGTTTAGATTTTTGTTGTTTTAAGGGTCAAGAAAATGAGTCATGTAAAAGTTGACTTGATATAAATAGAAACAAGTCAAAAGGTTTGCAGTTACGGCACACGTGCCTCGACACTAAGAATAAAGTTAGAAAGGGCTTCGCAACAATATGTTTTGTGCTTTCTGGCCATAACAATGGGCCAACTGAAATGTGTTTCTGCAGTCTAATAGATATCTAATATGTCCCATTCTGTTCTCATTTTTGTACTGGGCATAACTAATTTAAAAGAAAATTTATTCTGTACAACTTGTGATCGATTATCGATTATTGATTTGATCCAGAAATACTTTCAATGTTTTTCCATTTCCCTCTCCAACATGTGGCAGTTGTTTTGGGAATCCTTGCATTTCATTTTGTGGCCTATGCCTTGGCCTCCATTCAACTTTAAACACACGCAGCGGATGGGGAGGAACAACATTGAAAGCTAGAACAGACTCTCAGCATGGATGAACCTGAACCGACCACCCTGGCACCGCAATCAATGGCCTATTCTGTGTTGACCTCCTCACAGCTTTTCCTGGGGTTTCAGATTTCAGGGTGGTTTTTTTTGTATGTTGCTTGCTGGCAACGTGAAATAATTAAATTTCCAAATAACGCACCCAAAGCACCTTTCAAAGTCATACAGAGAGGGGGGGTGGGCCATACACACACACACACACACACACACACTTACTAAATAAAGCAGCCTGAATTCAATGGAAAATGAGCAAGTGTGTGCTTCGGATGCTGCAAATTCGATTTTCCATTTTCAGTTGCACATTTTCCAGCGATTTTTCCTTTTTCTATACACATATATATTTTTGGCCGATGTTCCTCCGATGTTTGGATGTGTGCGCGCTTTCGTTTATGTGTGAATTTTTGTACAAAAATCATTGCATACATTCGGGCGTTGCCTTTAATATGATTGATTGTACCATACAGGTCCAGGTGCGAGAGGGATTGGAGTTTATAGGGGGAAAACACACACAGACACACACAATTGAATTGGGCACTCACCTCCAACCAGCACAACCGACGGCAGATTCGTGGAGACGCCATAGTTATACTCGTGATTCAGTCCTTTCAGATAGACCTCCTCCTGACTATTGTCGACGCGTGCAATTAATCTTGCCCCATGGACATCGATGCGCACCTGTGCAGCAGACGAGAGAGAGAGAGAGATCGGTTAGAGAAGCGAAACCAATAAACCCAAAGCTAGCTAAAGCAGGATGGGCTCTGGCATGGCCATTGCATTCCCACACACACAACCACACACACAGACAAATGATAAAAATTTATGAATTTATGCGTTTTGGCCAACGAGTTGAAGTTGCAAGTTTTTGCCAGCGATAAATTGTTGCTGGTGCTGCTGCTGTTGCTGTTGCATGCTACAAAAATGAATGCTGCAACTGCTGCTGCTGCTGCTGTTGGGATCAGCTGAAATTCATTAGGAATTTGCGTGTTATTTATGAGTGCCTGGCTGTGGGGGTATCTCTGCATTCGCGTATCCCCGTGTATCCCTGCGTAGTCCTGTGCATTTGTAAGGGTGTGATTAGTAGTGGGGGATATGTTTGTTTTAAATATGGAACATACGT